CCTTAAGAGTTCACTTTGAGCCCTGTTCTAACTCAACTGGGGCTTGATTTCAACCCACTCTATACACAGCCCTCTAAGACTCATTTTTTAAAAAGCAGTCAGCAAGCAAGGTTCACATTTTTTTTCTGAGGTGAAAAGGAAGCCAGAGCTTCCCACTGGATCACAGGCACTAGTTTCACAAGCCAGGTATCAACTCCAAGTAAATAGCAGCCCTCACAAGCATTAAGAAAAAGACATAGACGAGATTAGTTTACATGTCATTACAAAATGAGCTACATGCTATTTCAGGCACAAGGCATGAAAGGTTTTTGCCTGCTCTGAGGAAATGCAGCAATGACATTCCACAAAACAAGGTAGCCTCCCGAAGAAAACATGAATCGCCTCCACTGTAGCAACTCAGATGAAGGTATGTAAATCAAATAATCTGCTAAAGAAACATTAAATTAGTCAAATAAAATCTAGTGGAATAATTGTGGGCTGGCAGGCAGGAGGGAGCTGGGGAGGGAGGGAAGGAGGAAGTCATCCTAACACATAAAAATAAAGTGACAACATCAAAAGGCTACTTTTTGGGTGCTGCAAGTAAAAGGTAAGCAGATGAGTAAGGATACATCCCAGTCTGTGTCAAAGTTAGCCTTGCCCTAAAACATGACTGTAGTAATGTCTTCAGGAAAGGCCTACCCTCCTTGTCTCACAGGCTGGGTCCAACCCAGGGGGTTGCCCATGCAGGCAAAGCCAAGGAGCTACTCCCGGACCTATTATAACCAGCCCCAAAAAGACAATGTTCAAAAATGTCCACTGTTCTACTTCAGTTGTCACTTCTGAATTTTCCCACCAAGGGCTGAACAGCAAACAATATTAACAACATCAAATGCATTGAGTACTTGCTGCATTCTAATTTCATGTAAGTAAATAAAAATAATTTTTTACAAAGATGCCTCCAAGTCATTCTAGAAACATCACGCTAAATTACTGTTTTTCCTCCTGGGTGAAGTGGGGTACATGTTTAAGGTCAGCATATTTATGAAATGACCAAATGTCAAGCCAAAAGACTTTGCATAAGCAATTATAATTAACAGGTATATTACATAATTCCAACTCCCCCAGTCTCTAATAGCTGTGCCAGAAAAAAAGTAGAGACACACTAGATGCCAGTTACAGCCCCCTTATGATAATGCTTCTGATCCCTTTTATTACTGTCTTGCTTATAATGTCTAACCTTTATACATTTCAGACTTTTTATAAACACCTCACAAATGTAGCTCAAGGTAACCTAACTCAACAGTTTAAATAACTTACTTGTAATATTAAGATTTATACTTTTGTCAACAGCAACTTAAAGCCTAAAGACAAAAGATGTTATGTTTAGAGAGATGACTTATTAAAAACGACATTTCTAGCTAGAATTTAAGTTTTTTTCTTTCTTATTAATGGATTTAGTCTTTGTAACAAATCTGGCCTTTCCCAAAGAGCGATCCGTCTAATTTTCATGCACATGAAACTCTAATATTGTTTGAATGTGTCATTCACTAGTGAAGAGAAATGTAATAATCTTCAGTTTCAAGGATTGCTTCATCTAGAAAATAATCCCTCTCTTTCTTTAGATGCCATTTGAAAATGATGGTATTTGTGTTATACTTTAAACATTTTTTTTAAAACTCAATTTCAAATTGTTAATCACCTAGGAATGTCTCAAGAAGATTTTTTTTTAGGCTAGTTGTGAAGAAACTATAAGGAGAAGCAATCACCTTAATTTTATTCTAGCTTATAAAAAGTGTTTCACATGTTTAGGTATGGAAAATGTAGCTTATTTTATTTGCATTGTCTCTAAATCAGTACTCGAAAAAACCATGAACTGAAAGAATTGTGTGCTGTGTTTTAAGAGCATTTTTTTAAACAGCAGCAATTTGTCAGAAGATACTGCAGCGATTGTACACAAGCAATAGTCTTTAGCACTTTTAAACATTTTATTTGTTGTATGTGTGTCTGTGTGCATGTATGAATGTGTGTATGTGCATGCATGTATGTGAAGGTCAGTGGGCAACTTGGGGAGAGTTGGTTCGTTCTTTCTGTCATGTGGGTCCCAAGGATTAAACTCAGGTCATCAGGTTTGTTAGCAAGTACTTTTTTACTTGCTAGCCACCTCTCTAGTCCCACAATAGCCTTCTGATGCTTGAATCCTAAATACTCGATTTATATTAATATTCTTGTGTGTGTGTGTGTGTGTGTGTGTGAAGGCCAGAGGTTGATTTCTGGTATCTTCCCAGCTAGCTTTATTCTGAGACATGGTCTCTCATTGAACTAGAAGCTCACAGATTCATCTAGGCGAGCAGGCCAATGATCTCCAGGGATTCACGTCTCCATTTCCCCTCCCCACCTAGGGTTGTAGACTTCTAGCTACTTTTACATGGTTGCTTGGGACCTGAACTCAGGTCCTCATGCTTGTGAGGCAGGCACTTTACCAACTGAGCTATCTCCTTAGCCCTGATTTGTCTTAATATTCTTAGCATTCATTCAGTGTCAACAGAATCGAGCTCTATTAACTGAAACATTATGAAACAAAAGTTTCCTAGGGAGCACACCCCTGAGGCTTAAATCTGGTTTTCTTTTGAGTTCTTGCTTAACCATGATGTGTTTTACAAGGCTGAATTTTGTTTTAAAGATCGAATACCATAGCTTACTGGTAAAGTTAGCTAGGGCAAAGTTTAAATTGCATCTTTGTTACAAGTAATGTCTTAAATGATATCTTAAGGATTAGCTCAAGTGACTCCTTTAAAATTACTTTGTTAAAAGACATTCTTTTTATAATGATTTCAGTATCAGTTGTGACAAAGCTCTTTCTGCTTTTCATAAGGACAGAGGTTAGTTTTAAAGGAAGGGTGATAAAAACTGGCTGAGTGAGCTCTCAAGTTAATGCTTTCATAATTTGCACAAGGGCAAGTAATATGGCAGTACAGCACTCCAACCAGGTTGTCTAGCTCGCAATCCAGGTTCTTACATGTTTTCATTCCTCAACCCAGGAGAATTTGTGCAGGGTTTCTCACTCAATCTTCCCAGCTTGGGGAGCTGCACATTATCATTCCCAATTTACAGCTGAAGAAATAGAGGCTCAACAAAGATGAAGTCTTTTTCCTAAAGTCTTACACACTAAGTTAGGGCAAGATTTGAATATATTTTGGCTTCACACTTCTGAGCTGTTAATACAAGAGGTCAAAGGAAGGTACAAACTGTAAAATGAAAAGAAATGCCGAACTATTTTAAGATAGTTGATTAGACAATTTCTAGGCTATCTACAAGTTCTCTTAAAAGTAGTTAAAATGGGAAAAAATGTGCTATGACAGTAAGAGATAAAAATGGAGCAAAAAGTGCCACAAGTTTAAGACACATATAATCTTCTATTATGATGAAACATCATTCACATGTGGCCATAAAACACAGACACAAACAGGCACCATGCTTCCACCTCAGCCGACAGTCATTGGTTACTCATGCTCCTCTTCTCAGACATCAAGAGAGCCAGCAGCCAAGACTCCACCTCCCTAATGCTACTCTCCTACGTCTGCCAACACCAAAAATAGCTACAAATATACATTCACTTTTAGATTTTACTTCAAGACACTTCATCTAGCTAACACCAAGCATATGAATGCCTTTAATATTGTCTCATGCAAAACAGATATGCCTTTCTTAATCTGTAAAACAGGAAAAAGGTTCAGCAAAACAATTCTCCATACCACCAGAAAAAAACATTACTGCTTTCCTCAAGACCCAATTAGACAGTGTAACTCCTCTACAGTTCTACACTTTTAGATTTCAGAAAATGTCTTCCACCAATTATCCAAGAGTAAACCTGGGCAATACAATCATGCCTCTCACCCTATTTCCTGCAATGTCCCAGAGGTCTCCCACAGTACACCACATTACTGCATCTATAAGAAATGACTATTTTAAAATTAGTAGTTTTACTTAGACATCAAGCTTACATTCTCAACAATGGAAAATCCTATCAGAAGCAGCCAGCAGCTCAGCCATGCTCCTTTGTACCAGACACTGATTTCAAAAACCCAAACATACATGAGAAAAACGCAGTCATTTGTTAAGTATCTTTTCCAGCACCTTGCAGCCTAGTTTTCAAAAAATAAAAATAAAAAGGATGATCCTCTCTCTTTGTGTCTGTCTCTGTCTCTGTCTCTCTCTCTCTCTCTCTCTCTCTCTC